AATTTGTTTTAGTTTTTCGACGCTATCAATCAAATTGTTTTTTTCAAATTTATCACTAAAGTATGGGGGAAATCTGGATCCAGAACATTATTTTTTGTCATCTGCTTGTCCACAATATTTTTTTTCATCAAATTGGGGATCAGAATATTTTTTTTAGGAAACCCTCCCCCCCCCTTGAAGTTAAATGGTTGTTCCCTAAATGAGTTCATTATAAATAACTGTAGTTGGTATGCATGAGGATGCAATCCATTGTCAGATAACACAATTTTTAAAATTTTGTATCTAAATTAAAGTTGACATTTTATCAAATTATTAATACTGGATATCCATGATAGCATATTGCATTGGGGATTTGTTGCATTAATTTGTTCCTACAAGGATTTTAACAGAAAAGATGCTAGGAACTGTTATATTAATCCTACAATTGATGTACATATCAATAATTACAGACCAACAATTACAAAGATGTATAAAATAACGTTTTATACTTATTTTATATTTATTCCAATGTCCAAATAAATAATATATGTCCTGCATCAGATAGAAATCGACCTTATGCAAGTGCATGCATGTATACATGATTTTGATTGATTTTGAAACATTCAAATACGAAATATAAGATGGATTTTGGTCTGTGTTGTAGGATTCTTTTATCAACTCATTTTTAAAAAAGTTAGACTTTGCATTAAGATTTTTTCAACCCCACATAAGTTAACACTGATATGTATTGATATCCATTTGCATAAGGTCGATTTCTATCCGATGCAGCTCATATCATTATTCATGGCCTCCAGACAAGAGCATTTGATGATTGTTAATTCAAATATGAAGCCTCAATGATTGATTGTGGTTACAATTGATAATTAGTAAATGTCCAGTGGCAAATAGTTCATGACTCCTCCAGATGATGAATTGAACTAGTCTTGTATATGTACAGAGCAAGCTAACACGATGAGTATCATTTGGATCGTAAAGAAAATTCAATTATTATACCGATGGATGCTACTAGTAGAGCAGGATCTGCTTACCCTTCTACTAGTTCTAGAGCACCTTAGATCACCCCCAGTTTTAGATGGGGTTAGTGTTTCTAGGACTTTAGTTTTCTTTATTTTGTATTGTCAGTTTCGTGAATTTGTTTGTCTTTTGTCACCTTTCATTTTTTGCATGGCATTGTCAATTTTTCTTCAAAATGAGTTTTGAACGTCCCCTTGGTATATGACACCTCTTTTTTAATCCAATATATTATTATTTACCCCTATAGATGTAGTAGCATCCTACATTTCTCAAGTGCAGTCTTAAAGCTTAACCACAGACTCACCTGGGCTGATAAAATTGCTACTGAACCTTTAAAAAACATGTCTAGAGGCCAACAATCTAATTAAAATTAAATCTCCGCATTTGCTCGTCGTTGTTTATATGTCGCGCGTGGAGCAAGTGCGGAGATTTAATTTTAATTAGATTGAGAGGCCAAAAGAATCTAACTATGATTTTCATTAAATTGAGCTTTGGGACTTTGGAGTAATGTTTAATACACATGATTGTTCAAGAAATATAAAGTTTTAATAACTCTTAGCAAGCTTAAGTCAAGATTTATGGATTTGCATTCATATCTGAATGAAATTCTTGAGAAAAGTGTTATAGAACTGTCAGTGAGCGTAACAGAAGAAAATTACAGAAATGTATTTAAAATAATACTGCCCTGATCTGTTAGTTAACTAAAAACATTTTAAGATCACTACAAAATGCACTACACTACATCTTCATAAAGTTAAACAATAATAACTTGTTGTTTATTTGATTTTCACACTAACACAAGTGAGAAATATTATCATATAACCACAAATCTCAAAAATAAAGTACCTTCTAAGCTTTGTTGTTCTAAAATAAAATATAAAGTTCTTATAACTCGTCATAATTGTCAATTTCATCTGAAAATCATGATGATGATGACAGTGATTCAGGTCTGATTATTCTCTATCTTAAATTTACTGTTCATTTCTGAAACTCTATTGAAAGCAAACAATTGCACAAGTTCATGTTTTCCTCTGACTGTTAAAGACATAATGATATTTAAGTCTTAGATGCAAGATTTTTTATATTAGTTGATATTGGATATTATAATTAAACAGAAAATAGGATGAATTTATTTACAATTGCATATTTGGAAATAGACACGTCATGTGATTATGGTTAAAATATGCAAGCATTGTATGTGAACATCATGTACACATGAGATTGGAAAAAATTTCAAATATCAAAATGCTTAAAATTGAATCTTTCAAGCCTTAAACTCCAGTTACTCTGAAACAAAGGACTGAGACTCAAATCTCTTCTCTAATCAACAGAGGAAAAGAAAAAAATAACATATTTCAGGTTTAATGACCTATAGCTTTTCATCAGGCTTAATGTTTCTCCGGTTCTGTGAGTTAAAAAAACAAGTTGCATAACGCTGCGGTTTTATCTGACAATAAAGCGTAATTTACACCAGGAAAAGACTTGACTTCTAAATGTACCATAAAATGCCTTAATGCTAACTTTTCTCTTGCGTATTAGATAATTCGTTTCCAAGACATAAACATTTCTACGGATAAAATGCAATTTATTCTACCTGTAAACAAAAAGTAGGATAAATTCACTTCAATCTTCAATTTGTAAACATCTTAGGGCAAAACAATCAATTAAACTAAAATTTACCGGGTACTAAATAGTGCACTGAACTTAAATTGACATTATCATTTGAATGGACTTACAATTTTTATATTATAAAAAAGTTACTGAAGCTTGAAAATCTAGATAATATATATTTTTAACTACTACTGACTAAAAGGTTAAATTTTATTGGCCACTAATTCCATTTTAAAGGTTCATCACAAATAAGGGCATTACGAAACATTCCCTCAAGACAATATGGTCATGAGGATGAAATACAAAATGTAAAAAAAAAACCATGTGATGAATATAAGCAGATGTAATGTATAGGTCAATGATACAGCAACCCATTAACACAAAAAAAAAACAAAAAGACATCTAGATGCTGTTTGTTTACTGTATACATATCATTTTAGTTTTTCGATTGTTGTTTAGTACATAAATCTGCCTGTTGATTTTCTTATTTGAATTGTTTATTTCATTTGTTATGTCTAAGCCTTTAATAGCTTGCTATGAGGTATAGGTTTTGCTCATGGTTGAAGGCATTACAGTGACCTATAGTTGCTAACTTCTACATCATGTGGTCTCTGGTGGATATTTGTCATCATTTGCAATCATATCACAAGGTTCATCGTCCAATTTTTTTTATAATCAAGTGGTCAATATAGTGGCTAAACAACAGACAAATGTCTATACAATTTTTTCAAGCTCTAAATTACCAGGAGTTAAGAATAAATAAAACATGGGCTATTAACAATCAACCAAAAAGTCCCCAAATGACAAAAATTAAAAAGTTCATAACCAGCTGATTCAAATTACATTTGACTTAACTTCTTTTGCCACATTTTTTAAAACAACACCAATCAAAAGAGTGTCTTTGAAATGTATTGATTTACAGATTTTCCATCTAGACATTGAGAAATTGAGCTCCACAGAACAACTGTCATTCAACTACATACAATAGAAATTTGTTCATTTTTCTGTGCCATGGAATTCTAAAACTGGCAAAAAGTACAAGTACACAATTTGATCTGTATTTAGATAATCAGATTTCAATAGTATCTTTATTAAAAGTCGTAAAATTACATGTTTCATTCTCAAATACATGTATAATGCTATCGACAAAAGTCCTATAATGAGATACATTGTCTAAGGTTGTAAAAAATATTTATTGCTTAAGCATGTTTAGTAACCAATAATATTTCAACCTTATTGATAAATAAGATTATTGGAAAATTATGATAATAAACTATTGTCAACAATTTTTTTGGTGACATAATATACATATATTTGTCAATAATAATCATTTGGTGACAAAATAACATGAATTGATTATGGATGATAAAAAATATTGACACTATAACTGATGAATACCTGGTACTCTTCTCAATCAACGAGTTTACTTAATGTACATATATAAAAAAAACATTTCACATGTAAGTTGATGGCCACCAAGTTCACTTTTTAATATCTAATAATTATTACCATGATTACCACAAAACCACATACTGTGGATTCAGTTATTTTCGTGGTTAACAATTTTGGTGTATTGAGGAAAAAATGTATTTTTGTTGATATTTGATTTTGTATTTTTGCTAAGGTCTGCATCATACAAGCCTGTAGAAAATTTGTAATTCGTTGAACATTTGATTTCGTGGTTGACCTGTACCCACGAAATCCACTAAAACTGGTATCCCACGAATAACACTGAATCCACAGTATCTACAAATGTAAGTAAAGATTGTCCTTGCTGTAGAATAAATCTTCCTTCAGTCACGTAACCAGCAATCAAATTAAACATCCAAAATTTAAATGAAGTACATGTAAGTGGGCTCAGATACATGTAACTCATTAGTGTACGCAACAGACACTGTACGTGTGAACTTTTAAGAATTTTACCACAACTATATTTAACGGTACATCACCTATCCATATACAGGCACATGCCGAATAATATAAATATCTTTATCTTTATAAATATGCATGAACATGTATTAAAATGGGATGGACTTACGGTATAGAAATTGTAAGTCTTGCTAAATAAAATAAATATTATGTCCACTCTATAGGGTGCACAAAGTGGACAAGATGCTTAACTGTAGATATTTTTGCTCACTCCAACATAGATTGATGGAAAAAGACAAATTAACATGAAATTGATTCTTAAGAAATTTGTAAAAAAATTTGTAAATTCAGATTTATATGAAAGCCTTAATATTACTTGAAATTGTCCAGATTAGACAATATCGCCAGATAAATACATCTACCTAAATTACTTAATTTTCACATGTTTCAACATACATATATATAGGAAAAAAATGAATACCCATTATTCTAATATTTTAAATTACCCTGATTCGATCTCAGGAATCATGTAAATCCCATTATCCAATGTTTCCGCTGGCATCTTGAAATCTTTATTTTTCACCAAATAAAATCTTAAATTTTGTTATTGTCCACTTTAACAGACAGAATCAAGCAAATCGAAACCGTGTCAGTTATGTCAACAAAATGTTTATTATTGTAAATCCACCTATGGTCACAATAACGTTAGGTCATTGAGCCATGGATTAAAAGGTTTTTGTCCTGTTATGTAAACTTTCCTCTGATTAGCATACAAGCCTTTTTAAAACTCCAGCCAACTTGATAACTCTATTAGCAAATACCAGATAACCACAATATATCAATGTTGTAATAAAAACCATTCATCCTTAAAAAAATATTGTTATCCCACTGACCAACGAATGTCAGGGTTAATATCTCCTTAGACAGAAAGTGTCCAACTGCCTTATAAAAACATTTCTATAACATATAAACAAAGACAATTATCACCTTGTTATCAAAACAACAGCCAATATGAAATCATATCTGATTTGACAAGATAAATACCAAGGACGTCATCAAATGACACTAGACAATTAGAAATTGAGGACATATACTTATTATCCTCTTTACCCATATGTAACAGGTATAGTACGCTGACAAGGTGTGATTGATAATATCAATTCACTGACATGTGCACTGATTAAAACATCCATGTGGTTTTTAAAAAAAATTATAATATTACATAATTATTATCATATCTAAATATTGAATCATTAATTTTGATAAACAATTTTAAATGTACATGTAGCTAAGGGACATAAAGGAGACATCAAGAATTTAACCTTTTCATTTCCCCCTAAGCCAGAATATTTCTGTGAATTCAATGAAAATGTATTTATTATTTTCTTACTTATTATTCAAAGTGGTTTCGCATAATCAAAGGTACATGCAAACATAACCCATACATGTTCAAAATGGCTAATTTAAAGGAAAGTGTTACATCAGGATATGTTTTTAACATGTTCTCTCTTAAGGAAAACATTCAAAAGCTTATATTATTAATGCTTATTTTTCCCTAAGCAGGGATCCTATTTCATTGTTTGTTTGATTTCTGCATATACTATTCTTACAGCCCAGTATGTATTTATTTTTTTATTTTTTTTGTTGGGGGGTGGGGGGAAATTAAATGTGAACATTTGAATACTGTACTTTAATTTTAAAGGTAGACTGACATTTTGACAGATATCAATGGCTTTCAAAATTCAAAAAGACTTGTAACATTGGACTTCATTTTTTTTAACATACTGCAAGCTAAAGTTAGAATTATTTAGCTTGTAGAATTTTAAAGAGCGTCTTAGGTTTTTTGTTTTTTTTTTGTCAAATTCAATCCTACATTTTTGTGTACATGTATCTAACGTTTGCCAAGTTAAATTATTATTCAATACCTGAATACAAGTAAAAATAGATACACATGATATATTTGTTTAATTTCCTAGAATTGTATGTAACAATGAACATGTTGAAATCAAAATAAAGAAAATAATTTTCGATTTTTTTTTTTTTTTATTTTTAAACTTTGAATCCATTAATATAAAAAATAAAATAACATGTCAGAAGTCTTTATGTGTTGACAAAAAATGTGGTCGCTTGTCATTTTTCGAGGACATTGTTGACGTAGTTACATCATGTACAATCAGTACATTATTACGTTTTTTTAGAACAAAAACAACCAATACAACATGGTCACAAAAATGCCAAAACATGACATTTATATTGACAATTAATACAAGTATTTATCCTGAAAATACACCAAGCAAAATTTTGATGGACAAATTAACTAACAATGCTACTCCGGGAGCTAAATTGAACTAAATTCGTCAGATAAATCTTTACTACGTACTCGGAGTGCAAAATGTATGCTTGAAACACCAAATCAAGTATTTTTATTGGTTGAATTCTGAGTCTGAGTACAATAAGTGTACTCAAAATGTTTATGACCACAAGGCCAGAGCTTGATATATAACTCTAAATGCTTTACATGCAACACTTAAAACTTATTTTAAAATAACACTGATAAATCAATCTTCAGAGATACATGTAACTTAAAGAACATGACGAAGTGACCATGATGAGAGATTGAATGTAAAATCTTTGAGTATCAATATATATGTTAATGAAACAGCAACAAGCAATGGAGACATACATGTATATGAAGGATATGCATTAATCAGACTGTGAGACTGAAACCCAACACCACAGAATGATATAGCAACATCTAACAAATATCTATAGATGTTTTCTTTATAATAAACATGTACATGTTCTCTTTGGGGTTTGCAGTCTTTGCGCTCAACCACAGGCCCACCAGCCCAGGCTTGTGAAAATGCTGTCGGGCCTGTAAAAATCATCTCTACAGGCCATTAGAATCTAACCAAAATTTCGTAAAATTCAGCTTCGGGTCTGTACATTCAAAAGTTGAATGTGAAGACTGGGTTTGTGATTTCAAAAAAGCACAATTTGTACATCGGAAATTATTTTCATTTTGAATCAGAATATATTTGTCCCAAATAAAATTTAGTCCATAAAAAGTAGCATGTGAGGTCTATACATACACATATATAACAATACTCACTCTGATTTTGATCCATCTCCATTGCAACTGGGTGTGTTTGTGTTCACATCATCTGTTTTACATTTTTCCACAGCTTGTGTGACTTTTTCTATGACATTATTATTAAGGGATAAGTCCTGTTCTCCATTATGGTTTATCGGTGGTGGTGATTGGTGGTTTGGCTGTACTGCTGAGGTCATTTTGTTCAAATCAATGGTCAATGTGTTTCACATTCTGGCATATTTGATAGATTCTAAAAAAAATATAAAGATATGTAATACAAAATGTTACAATACATGTATCATGATTATTTAAAATAAAATAACTACATGTACATACTGCAGTGATTTTATAAGGAACATGAGGGCATGTACATTGTATTTTCCTTCCTTATTAAAGTTGGGTTCTATCAATATGATCAATGCACACAACTATTATACTAAAATCACATTGTTAGCAGAAACAAAATATATGTGGTTCATATTAACTTAAATCATGTTAGTCATTTTTTGAATCAGATTGAAATCCACCTCTTATAAATTCAAAATATATTTAATAATAACACATGTGTACATTTGGCCTTCGACTGTTGTGTGCACTTTGGTTGGGTTGTTGTCTCTTTGAAATATTCCCCATTTCCATTCTCAATATTATTTGAAATGAAATGAAACTATGTGTTTGTAAAAAGAACCTTTTGATCATTTAATGGATACCACGGTTGGCAAAAACCCAGGTGTTCAATGAGTATTGCCCAGCTCAGTGGGAAATACTGGGATAACCCGGGGTTTTACTGGGTTTTACCAGGTAATACTTGACAATACTGGGTAATATGAAATACTGGCCTGAATTTTAAAGAGGATTCAGTGATTAATCGCAATTCTAATATGACGTGCTTCTTTCGCTTTTGTAAACAACACCGTGATAAAATTCTCGATATATCTATACTTAGCACAGACTCAGAGATGTTCATAATAATGGCTGTTACAATATACATCCCATGTAAATCCACATATATTGTAACCTATGTGAAAATGCTATGCCGATTTCGCTGTGTTAAAAATTGCAATTGAAAAAAACTACACAACCTTTCTTCTTATTCTGATGCATAAGAAATAAGAATTAATGCATTATAATTAGAGCTAGGAAAAATGTACAAAATCAAAATAAAATAAAATTCCGCGAAATTCCATTAATGTTTTTGGCGCATTCAAGTCATTTCAAAACATGACGTCATACGAAAGAAAATGCTGAACTTTTTTCGGTTGCGTTAACCCTCCAAATTCGGATAATATTGCATTTCAATTGAGTTTTGAGGTAGGTGTTGTTATGTTTTCTATTCTATTGCATTATTTGCACATTTATTGATTTCAGCAAGTCAACATGGCGGCTCCTTAGTTACGAAATGCCAACTGTGGATTTACTGTAGCTTACGAGAAAAAAATGTTAATTCAAAATGGCAAATGTTAGGGTTGAAAATTAAAAGAATTAAACATATTTTTTCTAGCGGTTATTTAAGAAATAATTCATGCAAGCTATAAATTTATTAGAAATTTTTAGCTTTATCTAACAGTGGGTAAAATAGAACAGCCACACATACGGCATACCCAACCGTGCTTCATTTTTTAAATGACCGTATTTGTCCTATTAGAATCAAAATAATTCATGGAAGCCATAGATTTGTTATAAATATACACATGGCCTGGGCCATGATATTCCTTATTTTTACCCCTCGATAACGCTCAGGAAAAAAATCAAATATCACGGCCCAGGCCATGTGTAAATTTCCAACAAATCTATGGCTTCCATGAATTATTTCTTAAACATGTTAAAAGCAATACATTAAAGTCAAAGAATTTTTTTTTTTTTTAAATATAACTAATATCATGAATATTAAGAATTAACATTTCTATACAACTGTACAATGATGTAATGAAAATTACTTCTAAACATTTTTTGTTCATTACTAAAATTGTTTACTAAGTTTTAGAATATGTTTATGTACATTACTAATTAATAAGTAATTATTCAGATTATTATCAGATTATACAAATTTGTTTATATAACAATAATCAGCCTTTTGATTACTATAAGTGTTCATGGTCTCTCCCTTAAGGGTGTTTATTTAGCAATAAGATTGTTTCACAATCAAAATTTACAATTCACTTTAACACTGCAATAAAATACCTTTTTCAACTTGATTTTATAATGCAACAAAGCCTGGAAATTAACAAGGCATCCTGAAATATCCCAAACTTGTATTCTGCATGTTTGGAATTAGTGGAGAAAAGGAAGAAATTGAATTTTCAATCTTCAGGAATGACTTTCAATGGTTATCTGTATAAAATGTATAAAATGTATAATTTTAGCTATAATACTATTAAACTACAACAAGTCTACTATTTTGGTTTTAAGTTTGAAAATCTTATTACCCAGTATTGCCCAGTATTACGTTTCTAGGATTATTGCCCAGTCCGGGAAAACCCGGGTTTTCCCACCCGGGTAATACTTTTCCAACTTTGATGTATTTTTTTGTATTTCTAATTTATTTTGATGACCTAAATTTATGCACTTTTTTTGTGAGAACATATGTTGTACATGTATTGTGTGTATAACAATTTAAAAGCAACTGTACATGATCATTGATGATATGTATAAAGAGAGGTAACTCCTACTCATTAAGGGGCATTAACTGTCAAATTCATGTTCACCAATTTGACTGAAATTCTCATATAAACATACTAAAAAAACATATATATCCAAATTATAAAATGTCAAGAACAGTTAATAATCACAGGCACTTGTTCCTAAATTTGTTTTTACCTATTTAACTTCATATAACACAAGGTAATCAACTTGTATTTTATTGAAATGACATTTGGTTGCAAATTTTCA